AAGTCCATCAATGAGTCACTTGTTTTTACCACTGCCCCTTCCAAAAAAATATATATATATATATCTGTAGTGTAACAGCATTCTGCCATTATCTACCTTACTACGTGAGAGGGACAGAAGACTTAAGGTACGGTGCATGCGGTACAGTAAAGTCTAAAATAAATGGCGGAGCCAAAGATTACTGCAGCTGTGATATCTGCACCGCCTTCCTAGCTTAAAAATTACTGTCATTCTTGAAAAGCAAAACCGGTAATTTATCTTGAAGGAAGGAAGCACACATACATGTATCACAGAGGTATTCTTTCCAAACAAAGATCCTGATTGTCATTACATCATGTTACTTGTTTAAGAAAACCCATTTTCCGAAGCTTCTCTAGACTTGTTATAAAAATTGGCAAGAGATTCAGTGTGCAGCGTGCAGGAATTCGCATGTTCTCTCCGTGTTCGCGTCCGTTTCCTCCTACAGTCAAACAACACGTCTTGTACCTCGTGCTACCTGGAACAGGTGTCAGGTTCATAAGGACCAGGTACTGGACAAGGTGTGGTAGAAGGTGAGAGGAAGGCAATCCTGCATTGTCTTGTCTCACAGCAAAAGCCGTTCACATCTATCGATCTGAACTTGCGATCTTCTGGGAGTCTCGAAAAAGAAATCGGCAGTTTTCGCCAGCTGTTACCTGTTACTTTGCACAAAGCCAGCTTGATTAAATCATTTTCACTACGGTAACCCAATTGTAATACTATGTTCAATGTCTTGGACTCCTGAGTTGTAAAATATCAGCCCTGATGCATTTAAAGCTGATTGATTTGGTCAAAGGGGCTGGCCCGTATTTACCACAAAAGAAAAGGAGAGAAATAAAAGTTGAAAACCTATGATCCAGAGCCGTTTTGTTCGGTAGGCATTTAAAACCATTGGTTTTAAAACATTTTCAGCTGCATATTCAACACCGTTAGCTATGAAAGAAAACTCGAGAGGATCTAATCGGCTGACAGTTGTGCAATAATTTATTCAATATTTCTCATAAATGACATTTAATTGAACAATATGAATGATAATCACAGTTTTTTTCCCCCCTCAGATTTGGTTTTTGCTGTTTTCCTGTATAGAGGATGTCATGTTAATTACTTGCATAATTTCAACAAACTCACTTAGTGAATTCTATAAATTAAACATTTACATAATTTAATAAATGTTAAATAAAACAGTAAATGAGCAACAAAATATAAATGCCCACATGCTAATGAACTGAAATGGCATGCCATTTTAAAAATATTTATGATTAATAATATGCATCACTTGTGAAACAGCCTCATTGCTCTCATAGTACAGTGGTATAAAACATACTTGTATTAAAATGCTTCTCAGATGCAGAAAGACAGAACAACATAAAGCATCATAATACTGGAAGGAAATCTATTGCATTGTCACCACTGAATATTACGTTTGTGAGGACAGATTGTCTTTAAATTCCTCCAGTTTTAGTCTGGCACTGTCAGCTGTAATTCCAGGTCTGGATGTGATCATTCTTAAACTTACGTATATCACCCAGTCTGTCTTAAGGTAAAATGGCCTGTTTATGAAGGTCTTCTAATAAAAGCAGAGTAAATTAATAGATTCAACTCTTGATTGTCATAATGGGTGCTTTAGTAAAAGCCCAGACTCTCACGGAGTACAAAAGCATTGATTTCAATCCACCTCTGCAAAAAATGGCTGCTATTAAAACACAACACAGATTTATATTAATAGATTTTTTTCTTTATGTTGGCCTGGTTCAAACTTTTATCAGAACCTGCTCACAAAGCAGCTAGACGTTTTGTAGGAGATGTATTACACCAAACTGTAAACTGTGTTTCATCTCCTCCAGCCCAGCTATGAACAGGGCCAGCGTGACTTCCTTATTTGGGGGGGGGGGGCTTTGGAGCAGCCTGGACTGAGCGGGACGTCACGAGAGCGAAATCTGTTTGACCACAGATACCGGCCTCTCTGCAGGGAACATTAATTGTGTGCCGTGGATAAATTTAGTCTCTTACAGGCTAATTTATTACCACTGGGAAGAGGCAGCAGGTCACAGGGAGAAATAGAAGACCAAATTTAGAATTTAGAATGCCATGAAATAGAATGTTATTATATCTTTATTGTTTTGTATTATATACGCTTGTTCATGTTAGGAGACATTCTGTTCAAAAATGAATTTGACAAAATCAGCAAATCGGCATTAATCTCTTTTGAAAGCAACCACATAATTTTATTGTTCCTGTTTCTTCCATTTACATGGAACTAAATTCCAAGCAACTAAATTTTATATTTCTCCATAATAGAAAAATGCTTGCACTGAACTGAAGGTGTCTTAATTACAAAAACCAAAGCTGTTAAAGCAATAACAGGGAGCAGAGCTCTTATATCATCTTTGTGTCTCAATAACAGGAAACTGAACTCTTACATTGTCTTTGTGTCTCAGGTACAGGAAACAGTGCTTTGACGTGGTCTGTGTCTCAGGTACAAGAAGTAATGCTCTGAAATGGTCTGTGTCTCAGGTGCAGGGAACAGAACTCTTGCATCGTCTTTGTGTCTCAGGTACAGGAAACAGAACTCTCGTATTGTCTTTGTGTCTCAAGTAGAGGAAACGATGCTTTAACATCGTCTCTGTGTCTCAGGTAGAAGAAATAATTCTCTGAAATGGTCTCTGTGTCTCAAGTACAGGGAACAGAACTCTTGAATTGTCTGTGTGTCTGAGACCTTTTACTTTGCCTCTGTTCCAGTTGCAGGTCTGTTACACTGCATTGCCAGTTGCAGGTCTGTTACACTGTCTCTGTTCCAGTTGCAGGTCTCTTACACTGTCTCTGTGTCTCTGGTACATATGGCAGAGAACCTTCCAGTTGAAGATATCGCACTTGTTTTCAGCAACCTGTTGGGCTCAAGTTGCTCTTCTGGTTAATTTGGAGATATGGCTGCTCACTCTGGCCCCTTTCATGCTAATGCAATCATGAGAGGCGAACATTGGAGAGTGGCTCCCATTCACGGCCCCAGGCCCTTTTGGCAGAACATGCTGCGTCGTCAGGTTCACCCTAAACCGCAAGGGCCTCCGAATGGACGGCTTTGTCTGCTTTGTATGGGTATCCCGTCACTTCACCTACGGCTTCTGCTGTAAACTTGCCACTAACTGAAATGTGAGCACAGGTGGAGAGTTCAGGAACAGAAAGTAAAAATTCAGACCAAGATTTAGTTTCAACCAACCAGTTGAGTACTCTGTGATTATGACTCTTTATACTCAACTCTTTGGTTGAAACAAAATCTTACTCTGGATTTTTACTTTCTGGATCTACAATACCCACCTCTGAAAGTGAGTCTAAAACCTGGGGAGGCACATCTACAGAGGGCTGGGGTTTGTCCACAGGGCCTATGTAGCCTGAAGAGTCCATGTAACTGTCCAGGTGAGAGACTCACCCTGGGTTCAAGCTCCAGACCTTCCTGATCCTGGATGGATGGATGGATGGATGGCAATACCCCTACATTCTCCACTAATTTATGAGCAACGTTTTGTGGGCTGTGTCTACAAGAATTGTTGCAATTCTCCTGTCCCGACTCCTGATAGCAAATAAAACCTGAAATATTTGGTTTGGTTTTGCCCTCAGTTTGCCCTCACTGGAGAACCAGCCTACAAGCTTCCGTTTTGATTTATTTGGATCCCGCCACACATCCTTATGTCCCTCTCTCCTTTTTTCCCCCCACAAAAACGGTGCCTTTACTTTTTCAGAATGAATACCAGTGCCCCTTCCCCCACACCTACCCACCCACCACAGGAAGGCACTGGGAAGCACCAATGCAGGGTACGTTTCCCCAGCCTAAGCGTAGTCCCCCGTCAGGCGGAACGTCCCCTAAGCATCGATGTCCCCTGAATGGACCCAGAATTCAGGATGAGTGGCCCACGCGTACAAAACAGCATGATGCTGCTAACGGAACAGTAGCAGAGCAGAATGCCGCGGGAGTGATATTAAAGCTGAAGACAGTTGCACGGACTTAGCTCCATATCATCTTACTGACAAAGAGGAATGCTTTGACAGATACACCAATCCCCGAGCACACTCGCCTCCCTTTGCTAGATTGAATTCAGCTGCTTCTAGTTATACTTGAACCCAAACCCCGTAGATCAAAAACAGCCTGCAAGCAGAAGGGTAAAATAACTTTATAATAGAGTTACCTGCACTTACGAAGTCTTCGCACACTGACTCCAGTGCCTACTGGCTGCAGTGGCGCGGAGTGCACAGCCATCCCTGCAGTGCTGCAAGTCTGCCCCCTGCTGAAAATGGGTGGCAGCTGCAGGTGCAGTCTTGTCTCACTTCCCTGCCCGAATTCTAGGCTTGTCCTGGCCCTCAGGCGGTGGTGAGACCTCCGTTAATGACATACAGGGGCTTAGGGAGAGGTACGGCACGGACCAATGGATTCTCATTACAGCCGCTGTTAAAAATGACCATTAATTTCTGCTGTCTTTGACTAGAAGGCATAAACCACCTCTATTGAATAAGCAGAACAAATACCATTATGCACAAAGTCTCTTTTTTGGATGCCAGTTTAGAGTAGATCCATATACATATATAAAACTACTACAGCCATAAAGTCACAATAAATTATATCAATTATAATGCAAAGTGTGATATTTGGCAAATCTAATTTGTTACTACAAATATAATTGTTGTATTATTTATTTGCCTAGCAGAGCTAAAATGCACATATGTCTTGGATATTTCAACCAATGAAATGTCACTTTGGTTAAGGGCATTTTAATTTTGCGAATTAAAATCCTTGACTACCTGCTCTCCAACGGGATTCTAATGCAGCTACAGTAATAATCAAAATAGTCATTTATACGACTGTCCATCACTAACCATTTATCTACTTTAGGGTCACGGGGACTTATCAAAATATGAGAGCCTACAATCAGTAACTACAATTTAGAAGGAAGGGGAAGCAATTAATGGTTTAAAAACGTGCGGGACGCTTCAGCTGAATTAAAGGCTATTTAATTAACCTGCCTTTTTTTATTTTCACCAAATACACGGCTGGTAAATGAATGGAAGCAGTAGGGAGTATTTGTTTTGATCACATTAGCAGTTTGGTGCCAATCCATCATCACCGGCGCTGTTGTCATCGCTCACGGCGACCGCCCGGGCTGCCGCATCTCCCAGGATGCCATCTGGGAGGTAATCGAGTTCTCTAACGCCGAGGCTGAGTGCAGGAAGTCAGATTGATGTCTTCACTCAGTGGCGGAGAAGGAGCTCGTCCGGCGCGCTAAGTGGACAGCCTGGAGAGGTGCGTGCGGGGAGGTCGCGAGCACTCACGCCCTTGCCGGTCTGCGTGGTGCAGACGACTTTTTCTATGTTGGTGCTGGGGGGCTGGGGGGCTGGAGGGTGTCAGCCCTTTAGCCCCCACCACCATACATTGCACCGGGCCTCTCCCTGCTTTTTCAGCTGCCACCTTACTGCCGTGTTCCCGACTCGCTGGCGTCAGTCCCTGCTCCTCCGTCAGTGGGATCGCTGCTTCTTGCTTTGGCGGATTTCATTTGTTATTTTCGTGTTCGCAGACAAACAGATGGCCTAATTACCATGTCTAAAACATAACCCAATCTTTGCCAATAGAATTTCGGAAATATTAGCAGGAGTCAGGCTTCGGTGACAGTGCACATTAGGCCTGACTGATAGGATCAAAATTACCTCTGACATGCAATCCTCTCTTAGCCTAAGGGTTTATAGTAATGATAACAATGCTAATGACAATAATAACATGTACATGATTTTTTTTTATATATATATATATATATAAATAACAGTGTCAAATATTGAAAAGAAAAGAATCTGGCGATCTATGTCAATCAATTCATGCATTAAGAATAATAATATTAATTATTGTCGATCCTTGTAGGGAAATCCTCTTTTTACTCCCCCCCCCCATTTTGCTTGCCATGAGAACAAGCTTGGCTGTGAAGGGCAGCCACCTGTTGCAGCGCTCAGGGAGCTGGACATCAAAGGCCTCGCTCAAGGGCCCACAGACCCACAGACATGCTGAGGCCGGACTTGAAGCTGTGACCTTCAGCCCATTGCGGCACATGCACACATTTACGGACTACAGGCAATTTACAGATGCAAAGTGCCTTAGATGGAAACACCAAACACAGAACAGAGGTGGGACTCAAAACTCAAGCCCCTAACTCTGGAGGTGAGAACTACTATGCTGCCCAATCTATGTTAATGCAAGACCTTTCCTGATGCCTGCGGGTTGAAATTCCAAGATAAGGTCTTCTATTGAACTCCCGAAAAATACCTGACAACTGAATGGAGAGAATTAATATCCAGCAGTATAATTTGGTAAAAATGTTGCCTCGGGGTGACGTATCTTTTGGGAGGGAGAAAAGAATACGATGATCAAATAAGACCAGGCGCAAGTAGGAGGTCTTTGTGGTTTACCCAGATGCGTATTCCCTGCAGAGTGTGAGAAACGCACTGATTCATGAAGACAGCAAACCAAAGGAGGACCCCGAACTGACGGGGTTAACCCATCATCTGCCAATGAGCAGCACTGACCACAGCCTAAACTAACAACATAATGAACAGATCGTGACAGAACTGGGTACAAGCCTTTCCTCAATACATAGTCAGGTCATAGATTCTGAACTGCTTAACGATGTTGGGGAGAACAGGGGGGATGAATAAAACAGGAGATAATAATAGTTGCTACCATGGAGACTGAAAATAAAGCCTTATTTGCTAACAGAGACACTCAAAAACAAAGCATATGTAATTTATGTATTAATTTTGACTTCCTAATACAGGAGCTGTGAGGGAGGACACCTTTAGCCCCCTGATCTGAAAGATGCATCCCTGCCACAGCTAAATCAAGGAAGTACCTTGCCCATTGCCACATTCTGAAGGAGGCAGGGTGCCCATTGGGAGACTGCCGTTATCTAGGTTGGTAATCGTATCTCAGCACATCAGCATAATCAAATATATTGTAATAACCCGACTCTCACTGCCGTTAAAATTCCCCACGGGTTCCTCATTATCACGAGTAAGTCCGAAGTGCTTCCGGCCTGCTTCCCCGGCTCTGTGACGTGGTTCGCCAACCCCACCATTCGCTTTGCATTTGGCCGAGACGAAACAAGATCTCACAGCGGCGTGATACGCTTAGCCATTGTCTTTTTTTCCCCACACGACGAGGACCCGAAAGCATTTCTTCAAAGATTTTGCAGCCAGAGCAAGAAACAATATGACTGTAGTGCCACTTCGCAGTGTGGCTACAATGACCTCGACGTCCATCATCACTGCGGCTCCTTTTATTCCTTTCGCTCAGTTCATCCTCACTTCGAATAAACTGCCAAAGTACAGTCGCGCCTCCTCATGGAGAGCATATTTATTTATACGAATGGCAGCGGGATTAACAACGCAAGACAGCTCTGTGCAGAATCACTCTGTAAAAGTGACAGATCCTTGACATTTTTGGCTTCACTTTCAGCCGGAAAATATTTACCCTTAAACTCTCTGCCTGTCTGCACATGGAGAGGTGGCGACCTTTAATGACATTTAATATGGGAACAGACAGAATAAAATTATATAAACTTAATAAAAAGATCACCCAAACACAGAACAGTGAAACCCTCAAAACCTGAGTAAATATTTTCCCGGTGTGAGTTGGTGCGTCGTGAAATTATAACACTGCTTTAGTTTCTGAAATAGTAGAAATGATTGTTCCTAGAAAAGTCTTTTTCTTCCATAGTCTGTAATTATCAGGGCAGATCTTGGCACTGATATCTTAACGCCGCAGATAATACACATCGGAAACCTTTGGTTCCTTTGTGCAATCATTTTAATAATTCTCGGAGGATTCAATAGATCATCTTCCTTAACAGACCAGACAGAGCGAATCAAACCAGGGCAAATCTACACTGACAGAGAGCCAAAGACCCGAAACCGCTACCTGCCTCATTGTCAGCGAGGGGAGCTTGTTTAGCCTCTAGTTTTCGCACTTTCAGGTTTCATGCACAAGCGTGGGCATTGCGGGCTCTGTGGGCATACGCGAGGAACACCCCCCAGTTGTTTCCGGATCTAAGGCTGTAAGACTGCGCACACCTGATCCGCTTTTGCCCGTCGTGCTGTTCCGCTGCTTGCTTTCAGAATACAGAACAGGCCCATTCCTCAGACAGGAACGCAGCAGTGCAGAAAGACACGCTTCCTTCAGGGACCAACATGCTCGCAGCACCTTTCAGCAAACATGATATCTTACTCAGCCACCACCACAGGCTATGTGCTTAATTAGCATGTTATAAGAGTGGCTGTAACACGGTTGAGAAGTGCTGGGAGCTCACGGAACTCTGAAGTCACATTCGCGATTCCGTGCTATCGAGACACGCGTGGCAAAGCCACACCTCAGGAACGCCGAATTCCCCACCGTGAATCGCCAGGACCCGAGTTAAGCCTAATTATGCAGGTCAAAATGTGAACCTATTTCACACTCTCCTCCTCAATTAATAACGAACACCCGGCTTAAGCTACTAACACTGACCCAGAAGCAAAAAGCTCACATTATGATTGCTTGAGTACAAGTAAAAGTAATGATACAACATTCTTGCAACATTCCACGAAGCGTTGTCATTGAGTGTAACAGAAAATGGAGGAATAAACATAATATATTTAAACAGTTTCCCTGTTTTACATACATGTATATATATAATTTACTTCTTATATTTCCACAGCTGTATCCCCAAAACATTTACTGTAAATATATATCCAGTCTATATAGTACTGTAGCTCAGTGCAGGACAGCAGTATTGCTGTGTGTAGGGTCTGATGCCCTAAAGTTTATATGCACAGAACATCTTCAGTATTTTTAACAGCAGGCATGAGTGTTTATAACCATCGTTACATATAGAGAGAGCGAGAGGGATCGGGCGGCCGCTGAGGCACAGCCTGTCATCAGGCATGTAGATAATCCATATGTACTAGATGTAGTCCTTTATTTGGGGCGTGCAGTGTCAACTAGAACATTCAAAATCGTCAGGAGAGGAGTGGGGGGGGGGGGGGCACTTAGAGGAGGGACATTCAGTTCTGGTCCTGGGAAGCATAAACTGAGAAGATCTTTAACTCCTGCCAGCAATGAACTGCTTGATTCTATCCACGTTTTCATCACAAACCATTTAAGCTCCAGCTCTCCAGTCTCAGTCAGGGCTGGGGAATCTGCAGGACTAAGCTCCTCCCAGGACCAGAAGTGAAGAGTGATCTAAGAACGCTTGAAGCTGAGATTATGGCGCCCCCTAAGGGTAGTGAGGTTGTTGCGGCTGGGTGTTGCCTTGCGGTTGCTGCTGCTGCTGTGAGGGGGTAGCAGAGCCGGGGAAGCCCTGCTGACCCACCGCCTGGAAGGGCATGTAGGGCATGGTGAACTGCCCAAAGCTGTAGGGATTGTAGGACATGGGCATTGGGTAGAACCTGCAGAGACACACAGATATCGGCCTTCAGAAAACCGACTCATGGTGGATTAGGAGTGGCACAAACCTCAGAATGCAGTAAAAAGGGAGCGACCCAGGAGAGCAGGCAGGAGAGCTTACCCAGGGAAACCCTGGTATGTGGGGTAAGGAGGCCCCTGAGCCTGGGCCAGGGCTGGCGTGGTGCTCGCTGCTGGTAGGGTGGCACTGGAGGTACCGGTGGGGGTAGGGACAGCAGGGACGGCAGGGAATGTGGGGACGGCAGGGAATGTGGGGACGGCAGGGAATGTGGGGACGGCAGGGACGGAGGTGGACTCTGCAGAGGTGGTTGTCACAGTGATGGGTGCTTTGGAGAAACTTGGAGGTGGAGGACGTGCTGGAGGTTGTGCTTTGGCCTGTGAGACCAGGAAGTTCATATCAGACCAAATGACAGGTAGCACCACTCATCGCATATTAAATTTTCCATTAAGGATCAGCACAGAAAATAATTCGTTGGTTTACTTTGGGAAAGTCATCTAAGGACAAGTTAAATTTCCTCCAGAAATTGGGCAGCTCAGTGCGCAGGGACTTACGAACATGGTCCGGGGAGCTGGGGTGGGGGTAGCGGACATGGTGGATGCTGCTGTGCTGGAGGTAGACTGAGGTGTTGAAATGCTAGAGAGGGCAGGAGCACTGGACTCGTGGGCGATGCTCTGCTGGAGGTCCCTGAGTAACGGGACAAAGACACTTCCTTTCAGCTAAAGCGCTGAGTGACAACTGCTCCTCCAATGAGAAATCAGCATCTGTTCCTTCATATGGGAATTAACAGCAGCTCAGATTCACTGGCCAGAGCGCCAGTAAGCTCCCGCATACCAAACAATCCTCGTAACAAAGCCATCAGCGCTGGAGCTGAAATGAAGACCGTGGAGGTCCCTGTCCACATGTTCTCCTTAAATAAATAAAGGTACGATACTCAGACTGCAGAATAATTACTTATCTGTGCAGAAGGAGATCTATCCAGCACCTTTCAGACATGCAGTGCCACCCTGAACTTTTACAGACACATCCGGGAGGGGTTGTACGCGAGAATGGAAATGTCCAAATCAGTCGTGCAGGACATTAAATGGACTTTACCCTAATAGCTCCTGGGTAATTTACGACTGACCCCAGTGTGTGATTGAAGTAGACAATGTCCGCAGTTCATGTGTGAAAACAGCTTAAGTTACTTCGCCAGAAGTTCTTAAACCAATCCCAACCACCCCCCCCACCCTCAACTCGACATTTTTGTTCTAGTCTACCAACTGGATGCTTGGGGCAGGTAATCAAAGCCTATAAATTAAGCTCATATGGAAATCAGTTTTGTAGATGATGGAACAGAAAATAGAATATAAATGTGGATTGCCTGGCTGAGGGGGGGCGGGGTCTGAAAATTGTTTTAATCCATAGGTCTCCTCCCCAGTGAAAACTAAGCAGGGGTGAAGACTAGTACACAGACTCCAGGTCTCATCAGTCACCTTTTAAAATAGCACTACTTGATCATCTGCTACCCTGCAGGGGTACAGCTGACAGAAGATGATGCTATACACCAGGCCTCTTCAAATCTGGCCCTCGATTCCAAATCCAGGCCTTATTTTCAGTCCTCCCAGGTAGTTAGTTTAATAATTCTTGACACTGATTGGCCGCAGGGGCTTCATACCCGGCTCACAGGTAAAGGAAGGCTGGAAAATCAGCAGGGCTCGGCCTTTGAGGACTTTCATTTGAATAGCCCTGCTATACCGAAAAAGTAAGGCCCAGCTAATGACTTAACCCAACCAAGGTCATGAGAACAGAAGGTGTTCTCTGAGGCTCCTCACGAAAGACAGCTAATGCGGCACAACAGCGATGAGATTCAGGCCCCCCTCACCCCACGAAACACCCGGAGTCCTCTTACTTAAGGTGCTCGTCGCGCTCTGTTTTGCGTGCAAACACAATGTCGCTGCACTTGTTCTGGAACTTCACCAGCATCTCGGTTAAACCGTTGTAGAACTGTGGGATCACAGAAATGGTTTGTCAAGAGACTTCTGAAGTGAAAACCATCAAATAGCTCAATGGTGCATCACGAGGACCCGACTTCAGCTGGAAGATGTTGGGTAATACAGGTTAAGAACACCATGACAGTCACAAAAGCACTCTCTCACCCAATATCAGTTTCTCAATAAGTTCACAAAATGGTTCAATCTGGAGAGACTTTCAAACCTGCAAGCTCACATCAGTAACAAGCTGAATAGTCACCGTAGTGATTTAATTCCTGCCATGTTGATTAAATTGCAACTCAGAGAGCCCACCTTGGTACCCTCCTGAAGATTGTTGGAGATCTCCATGTAGGTGTCATGGGCTGAGGCCAGCTTCTTCAGGACCTCTTCCCTCTGCTGGGCCTGCTGGTTGGACTGCTTCAAGGCAGAGAACTCCTGGTGGGACACCTGCAAAGGCAACACAGTAACATCAGAAGTAGACAAACCTGTTCTTAACAGCTCCCTCAGATAAGGCTTGTCTAGTGGTAAGTCAACAATTCAAGTAAAAGTAGGATTAACTCTATGCTGAATAGCGCAGTGTTTTCCAACCCTGTCCCCAGGGACCCTATCAGGAGCTGGGGGGGAAGCAAAAATGTGGACCGTTATGGGAAGCACTGGCATAACAGATTTCACGTTGTACTGCAATCAGAATAAACTGCAGCTTGAAGGAACAGTAGGTCAGTAGTAGGCATAATCTAGAATGTTCCGTGGTACACATAGCCTCTTCCACCCACCTGCACTTTGGCCAGCACCTCCTCCTGGGTCTTCAGGCCCTGCTGCATTTTATGGGTGTAGCTGCCATAAGCATTGTCCAGCTCGGTGACGGACAGGGGCTCCTCGTCGATGGTGCCATCTCGGGCCAGGGCGCCGAGGAACTTGCTGGTCATGTCGAAGTGCACAGACTTGATATCATTCTCCAGCTGCTGACGTTCCGTCTTCACCTGATCTAACTGGGCCAGCTGTGTCCGAAGGACTCCAACAACCTGGAGGTGCCAAGACGATGCTGTAGTAACAAGGCTGCTGATTTGCGACCTCTGACCTCTAACCCCCCAGAGTAAACTTAAGCCATAACTAATATAACACCTCACTGCAGTTAAAGAAGGCGCCTCAACACCACCTTTCTCAGGATTAGGTCCGTTAATTAGACACTTTTATATATGACTGCCCTTGAAATAAGTAATTTCATGTGTTGCCATGGTAACCAGTCAAGGGAACCAACTGGATGCTAAGACGATGGGAAGATGGGCAACTTCGAGCATACCTATGCCAGGCACTCACCTCACTTCCCTGCAGGCTATGAACCGGGTTGGCAGAGGGTATGGAAGCAGTGAGCTCTGCCTCTGGCTTGCAGAGCAGGGCGATAGCCTCGCAGTGGGCATTATATCGATCTCGTACGACCCGGTCCGCATCCACCGCCTTGTCCAGGGCACCACGGAAATTTGCCCCCTCTGCAGCAAGGAGGGGGGAGCCATTAGCAAACGGCGAAATGAAATAAGCTAATCTGAGGAGTCACTGTTGAGGGAGAGCATCTCAATACCTGTTCTAAGAGACTTGTAAAGGTCACTTGAGGGCAACCGTTGCCATCTCTGGCCAAACTTGGCTCTGAGCTCATTGTCCGTCGTTTCTTCGTTATCCAGCATTTTCAGTGACTGCAAGGCAACAAATCCGCTTTACTGGCAATGACAAAAATCAAATGCTTTGGCCTCAACCACCTGGCTTTACGTGTGGTTTATTGTTACTGCACCCGCCTGGGAGTAGCTGATTATTGTGGACATGGGTAAAGTTTCACAAGACGTAGGTACAAATTGGATTAAATACATGCTACATTATGTGGCTAACAAAATATCTAACCGTTAACAACGGCTATCAGCAATGGCTACTCCAGTGATAAAGGCTATAACAAGGCCAACACATTGGCTAACAGCTAAGGCTACATTGAGGCTAGAGCTCAACACAATAGCTAAGACTGTGCTGCCCTACTAAACAGCTGGTAGTGAAGTGGTTAGAGACACGGACATCATAACCAGAAGGTAGCCAGTTCAAGTCCCAAGGCACCTTGAAGTAATCCCACTGATGAAACACACGTAAACCATATTGATTCAGTTAAATATCCAGTCCTCAAAATGGACAGAAACTGCAGACGACCCCCCTCTCCTGCAAAAGGACAGCAGCAAATGATACACAATGTCACAGAAACGCCACCCCTCCCCCCCCCCCATCAAATCATCAACTTTTACCATCGCTGCCCCAGCTCCGGGTCACTCTCATCCACCTCTCTGAAATCGATATGCCTAAGGTGGGCCATCAGAATTGTAGGTTACTTTGGATTAAAGTGTCAGTCAAACAGCCGATTATAATAGTTGTGCTGACAGTAAAAGCCAATAATGGCTGGGATGCACAGTGGCGTAGCTAATTTGTTTCTATGTCGCGCACATTTCACACGTTGGCGTGATGCGGGTTTTGTAACACCGTGCCGCTTATGGCACAGCAGCTGGAAAGGAGCAAAGATGCTACAAACCTCGTCCAAAATTTCTCGGTTCCTCTGCACCAGCTCGGGCACGTCCTTGATGAGCTTCTCGATGCTCTGTATCCCCCCCCGCTGGATGACGGCACCGGACTTCTCCAGGATGGACTGGGGCACGGAATTCCCTGACAAGTCCTCCAGGGCAGCGGGGAGGTTGAGGGAGGCCAGGATTCTGTGTGCAAGATAAAGTGATTTAAGCCCCAGTGCTGACCACCAGTGACGTGGCGCTGAACCTTTTTTAACAAGTCTGGATAGTAACAGAAGAAATCCAGCACAGGTATTTTCCTGGGCACTTCCACACCAGCAGCCCACTGGGAAATAACCCTCAACACCCCTTTTGTCTCACTTGCATAATGGCATAATGGCATATCCCAGGTGAATAATGGCTGTTGGTTCATACCCCAGGTGAATAATGGCTGTTGGTTCATATCCCAGGTGAATAATGGCTGTTGGTTCATACCCCAGGTGAATAATGGCTGTTGGTTCATACCCCAGGTGCATAATGGCTGTTGGTTCATACCCCAGGTGAATAATGGCTGTTGGTTCATACCCCAGGTGCATAATGGCTGTTGGTTCATACCCCAGGTGAATAATGGCTGTTGTACCCCTGTGTCAGTTCAGACCCTAATCCCAAATTAATTCCAAAACACAGCTCCCATAACGCACTAAAGGTGCGCTTGTCCCTTTTGATAAAGCATCTCCTTAACAAATATACAAAAGCACCTCCCCCCAGGGGGGAGAGATCACAAGAGGACCTTGGGAGCCCTGCATTGTGCTTGATTTAATTACACATCAGCTAGACTTAATTAGCCTGAAACTCTCTGCTGTGATTTGTTTGTTTATTTATACATTTCTGGATTTCCAGACAACCTCCAGCTCCAGAATGCAAATGTGGCTCCCCCAGCTGAGGGCTTTACAGCACCCCCATCTATAAAGATGGCTGCCAGGCCCGATGCTATGAACCATGGGAAGAGAGTGTAGAAGGGGGGGGGGGGGGGCGGGGGGCAGATACATAGCAAGGTAGACAACTTGGATAAGCAACTCATTGTGGCAATACCAGATGACCTCAACCAAAAAACTCCCAAATAAGAAAGTAAATAAATGTACTAATATCTACCTCAGACCAGCCATTAACTGGTAACTAAAGAAAACGTACCTATACCATTTTCTTTTAAATGGTTCCTTGCCCATTTCCTTTCTAGAAATTAGAAATTTTCAAGTTTCCCCATAACGGAAATTAGGGATTTTCCTATTTTTTGGTTTCCTTTGCCATCTAAGCTTCCTGTTCACAAACGTATAAAATCCTACAGAAGACACAACTGACTAATGAATGAGTGGCACTGCTCCACAGATGGCTAACACACGGCAGGACCCGGCGCGGCCCGGTGCTGACCCGTTGAGCAGGCCCGTAGACTCCCGCATGGTGCCCACCACCTGGTTGACCAGAGCAGCCCTCCTCTGGTTAGAAGCCGCCAGGGCCTGCTGCACCTCCATTGGCACCATCTTCTCAAACAGGTCTGCGGAGATACACACACAACAGGACCACCTCCACCACTGACCGGCAGACAAGAACCTGGACTTGGGTCTAGAATTTGATCACTGCAAGTTGGAATTTTACTCTTGAACGAGGCCCATTGTCTCAACTACAAAGTGTGGAGATGTTGAAACGACGACTCAGCAAACTATAAGAAAAATTTATCTGCATTATGTAGAATATAGTATTTAATTGTAACTAGCTTCAAAGGGACGGAGATCTCATTAAACTTGTAATTAAAGGGACCATAGGTTCCATCAGAGTCTTTCTGACTTTGGAACCAGAGCCAAACTGAGGAGAAGCAGCAGCACTTACCACTGAACTTCTGACTAAGAGGCACCTGGACGGCGGAGGGCTTCACCATGGCGGCCTTTCCGATACGTTCCAGGTCCCGAACCTCAGGCACTCGTTCGTGATAGATGAAGTCGTTGTCCTTCTTGGCTGGAGTGAGGGCACGGGCAGTCTTGTCTGACAGCTCCCGCACGTTGACATACTCGTCATAGCGAGACGCGACTGTTTTCAGCAGCTCTGTTGCATGCTGAAGGGGATGAAAAAAAAAAGTGTTGGTTATTTTAGAAATGACACACGTCACAAAATATATGATTCTTACAAATGGACACAAAGGAAACCAGAGCAGGAACTCCGATATCAATGCAGACATCAACTAGCAGGGCTACAGGAAGCCAGGAGTCCAACCAAGGTGCAAGAGAGTGCCCCCTGGACAGGATGCCTCCACAAAAAGGGCAATTCACAAACATGCAGTCACCCAATCATACGAGGCCATCCTAATTAAGATAATAGGCATTTAGGCAAATTTATGTATTAAAAATTAAAATTATGAATGCATTTTAACTGACAGAGAAAAAGCTTTCTGCATAAGCGACTCTTTGTTCATTTAATTGTCCAATAGGCTTTAATTACACCTGTTACGTGATCAAAAGCAGTAGAGCAACAACTGACATCCGATCACCTATATGTTCAACAATTTTCAACCTACCCTCTCGTAAAAAGAAAAGATCATGGACTCCTGAAGAAAAACATTGCATGATATTTTCCCGCAGCTTCTAAAGACGACTTCGATTTGATTTGAGAGTCTTTTAGCAGAACGGCATTAGAAACACAAAGCATTTGCGTTTGAAGATGCAAGGGTAGATTGTTGAAATAAGATGGTGGTATAAAAATGAAATTCAGTAATGTCCCTCTGGACAGCTTTTGGCTGACTGCAGCTGAAGATCTGAAGCTTACCCAGACAATGCAGACAGTGCTGTCAGTGTTACTACCATTTTCTACAAGGTACCTATGCGAGCTGAGCTTTTCAAGTCTGACTTACGAATAAACAAGAGCAGAGAGAGACGGAGATCAGCAGAGCAAGAGTTTTACGTTTGCTTGTCATCAATTCCAGCCAGGACACCGGCTCTCTCTTCTTCTAAGCAGGATCAAGCTTCACACTGAAGGTAAGGCTCAGCCAGCAGTATGGGTTACTCAATGGTGGGCTCTGGGATAGTTACCTTATGAAAAGTGTGCCATGTGATAAAAGGGGACAGAGGGCGAGGAGGAGGGGGGTTCCTGGGACCACTTACTTGCAGCCTGGCAATCTCCTCCCCAAACTTCTTTTGCTGTTTGGCTACCGAGGCCTGCCGGTACTGAGCCGTGGCCTGCATTACGTACTGTTTGGCCGCTAGCACCGGTAGAACTTCCTGGAAGTAGAAATACTGAGGGGACAGGAGGGGGGGGGGGGGTGGAGCCAGCCAATCACATGTGCCGAACAGGAAGGACAGGAGCGGGGAAGAGGAAAGGGAGAAGCAGACAGTGAAACTTTCATTCCAGTTAAACCAGGTGCAGTTCAAATCAAGAAAAACTCGAACACAAAGCATTCCATTGCCTTTCAAAAGCAAAAGGAGAATGACAGGAAATGGCAGGACAAAAGAAAACAGCATGTAGTGACACACACAGCTTACAAAGATTACATTTTATTGTAATGCGGAGAAGTGCAAACATGTACAGTAAAAATGACCAACTGGGACAATGAAACCATGTACATGCACTTTACACCTTAACTGAAACTCGTTATATTCACTACTGACAGGCTGGCAAAGCCATAAAATTTGAAGATTTTACTGTAGCAGGCTGGCAGTGGGGGATTATGGGTAAGCACATGGGAAGCTGAAGGGTCGAAGGCTCCAGTGCAAGCAGACTTACCTTCATCAGACCGTCTTTGTACTGGGAATGCTTGGAGGCATCTGCATAGAAGTCCGCAGCCTGAGTGGCCAGCTTGGCAATGATGGCGTCTTTCATCTTATCTGGAACCGGAACAAAAAATTCTCACTCAGTCAAATGAGGCATTTCACACTGAATCTTTAACTCAAACACCACAAACGTGACCAAACGAAAGGTCTGACAAAATTTCACTGCTGGCACAGTCTGGGAATCCCTCTCCAGATAAGAGAGGCCAAACTGACATCCAAGGAAAAGCCAACAGCATGACTGTCCAACTGTGGCCCAAACATACATGTTAAGTCATCCGTTATTAATTAATCAGGAATATATACAGTGCATCTGCAGCATCCATCCAAGTAGTTATAACCAAGGGTGGTCCAGAAGGGTGCGCTTAGGAAAACAGCGCCAAGCCTTTGGAACGGCTTAAACCTACTATGCTGCAGTTGGCCATGACCATCCACCGGTGGCATGATTAATCACAGCCTGGGTATTCCCCAGAGATTCTCTCACATACTCCTCCGAGATCCCCACAAACGCTGGTTATTCACTACAAATGGCGTCCCCCCCCCCACCCCCAGCCCAATTTGGATGACTCTCAGACCATAGCATATGCTTAATCCATCCATTGCTGCCGTATCTTATTAAAACCAGCTATATCTGCAGAGCATTCTTTGAAGAACAAAAGGTTTATGCAGAACAGACAAACAAGCTGGAGAAACATCACAAGGCCCATACATTATTATGAACCGGTCGCCATAGAAGCCTGAACGCCAGTTCCTCAGTATATTATATAACTCTTTTTTTCTGCTGTAAATCAAAGACGCAGACACGTCTGTTAGAAACAGCGCTGGCACTCTCTAGCGGCCATAATATGTAAATGAGCCAATTAGGAGAACAAAAAGGGTGAATGAGAGCAGAGGACAGACTTACAGCCCCAAGGGGCACGGGTGACCCAGGAGACATCCCCAAACACCCCATTCATTTACAGCCAGCATGCCTTTTGTGCGCTATCGTTAACGCTGAATTTATTATCACACCGAGGCTCTATAGATGTGAGGGTCTCAGTCCTCTGGTGGCCTGGGGTCAGTCCGTCCTGTCAACCTCTGCATGGATTAATCCATGAAAGACCAATAAAGTAACCAAAGTCATGTGGGATAATCAAATCTGATGACAAAAGCTGACACTTCCACCCACCCTGGTTTTTGAAGTATTGCCCCCCACCCACCCACCACAACCAAAAAAATAAAAAAACAACAGTTTAGCTGTTTAGCAGACATTTTAAGGGAGCAATACATATTACTTTTTCCAAACAATATTACACCTAACTGAATTATTTTCTATTCGTACCACATGAGCTTCAAATCTGAGTAAAGGTACAGCAAAACACATGGGGATTCCATGTGCAACTTTTGTGGTCTTATAATTATTGTGGTGCAGTTCAAATCTGTTTAGAGTCTTCTTCAGGAGCAGACTATGCAATTGAGCAGACACACAGAAGCAGCATGGTGGGGAAATAATGACAGCTAAATAAAGGATGCCAGCAATACCTAAGGTGGCCTTGAGGACGAAGACCTCCTGTGCCTGGGCCAACATGATCTGGCTGAGCGCACTGGCACTGTCCGGGGAAATGTCCACTGTGGGCTCGCAGTTCAGCGAGGACAGAACAGTGTCCTTGATGTGGGCGAAAGCACCGGCGGCCAGCTGTGGGAGAGAGGAGGAGGAGGAGGTCAAACAAGATGAGAGCGCGCCAAGCACATTTTCAATACGGGATCTCCGTCACGGTCTGAACACATGAGGATCATTTCCGCTGAATGTTAAAGCACTTCATTAACATCAACTGGGTCTCCAGGGAACTCAGTTAAACTTCAGCTGCATAGCTGATGGTGCTGTCTGAGCAAAGGACTCATACGTCCATAGAGTGAGTGAGAGATTGAGCAGCAAAGGGCACTTAGGAGGAGATGCAACTCCATCAAAAGGGTGTCTAATTGAAACTTTACAGTCATCCACACTATATACAAATGATAAATGTACTGTAATGAGGCTGCAAAATAACTTTAACCACAAAAATTTACTAGTGATGACCAAATGAGGCTTCATGAACCATTTGCTGTATTTTTTGACTCCACTAGATGGTGCTCTCGGCTTGCTTTGAGCCCTTTTTTTTTTTTTTTTTTTTTTTTTAAAAACAGAGAGCACCATCTAGTTTAGTCAGAAAATACAGCAAGTGATTCATGAAGCTTCATTTGGCATTTTACAACAAATGTCCTAACCTTAACTTTAACAGTTCATTTACACCTGAAACAAGCTCTTCACTTGGCATTTAAGGTGTAATAATCTCAACTGGACCACACAGGGTAAGGCATTAAAAAGTAACCTGGTAGAACTTGGCGGCAGTCTTCAGGCCTTCGTCAGAGTCCAGGCGCTGCTCGGTGGCGATCTGACTAGCCAGCGCCCCAATGTTGAACATCACACAAGTCTTCTCATAGCCCAGGCTGGGCAAGGCTGGGGAGGGCACAGTGCGAGTTAGCATGTGACGTGGTTCTCAAGTCACAAATCAAAACCTTGACTGCTGAAAACTAAACAAGCTTGGTTGGTGTCATTCACTCTTGAGCTGTTACCTAGTGATGGGCAAAATGATACTTAAGAGCCATTTGATGCATTTTTTAACTCCACTAGATGGTGCTGTCTGTTCAAAAAAGGGCTCAAAGCATGCCCCAAAGCAAGCCAAGAGCACCATCTAGTGGGGTCAAAAAAATACAGCAAATGGTTCATGAAGCTTCATTTGTCCATCACTACTGTTAACCTCTGATGGATCACATGACCAAGGGTAAGCACATAATCTTGAATCATTAAACATGTAGGATGAAAAACAAGCAAAAAACAGTAATGCTGAAATATGGCCATAAATGAGACAAACTAATGAATAAGCAGAAAAAAACTAACTAGAAACATATTCTTTAATACTGTTCCTTTGACTATGGTCATTACCCAGACTTGACAAGGCTCTACAAAAGTTATTGATGCAGTAGTGAATAGTTAAGCAGATGCTTGACAGTACAGGTTAGTAGTCATATGCAGGTAGCTCTCTCTCAAATAGCCCATTAACAGTGTGAGTTATAATAAGACAGGAGCCTAGACTGCTTTAGCATACTTTCAGGACTGAGCACGTATCACTGGTTCAGAAGTTTGGATTCCATGTAAAAACGAAACACTGCAACACATGCACCGTGACCCACGAGTCAGGCATCTAATGGCAGATGATGAAACTAATGCAGAACTTTCTACCCGAGTATCAGGGTGGAATTAAGCTATGGTTTCACTTGAAGGCCTTTTCACTATGTGGAAAATATAATGTGGTTAAGCCTCTTATGTGGCGTGTGGTTAAGTGTAGAAAGAGGGGCCCGGGGTCTGTGGAACCCCACAGCATGGTGCAGTAATACTCAAAGCCACTGTACACTTACCCAGCTTAGCAGAGCTGCTAAATAACGACCCTTTATCAAAGGCATCTTTCCAAGCAAATGTCAGGCAGAGCTGAAAAACAGGAAGTGAGGCTACTGCTTTAAAAGGAAGTTGCCCACCATCACATGATCGGTTATGCTGGCATGTGCTGTTATCTCACATATGTAGATACTAAATATCTAAAACGTCAATCACATCAGGCCTACAAATTACACTTTCGGTTTGAACATTCGGCAATATCCCATACCTGGTTTTCAGAGAAAGGAAACTTTGGCTCAATGGCGCACAGCTGATCGTAGTACCTATGGGAATAGAAAACAGATGTTCAGTTTGAACAACTCTGAAGCCTACATCCAAAGCACTCACATGTAGCACTTAGAGATTTGTTTCAAATGTATAAGATTAAGGGTTCAAGGGTTTACAAGAGGCAGGTGCTAAATCCTTGGCTTGCTAATGGCAGATTGCATAAAGTGAAACTTGGTAAATCTGCAGGCTTAAAAAGGACGTTCATAGCTCAGGAACATTTTGTTCCCTCAACACCTTTTCTTGACACACGTTTTATCGTGTGCCAATCAAAAAAAAAGTCATACATTTCTAGAGCATAAGGTCATGGCGCAAGTTCTCTGCCCATCACTGCAATTGTCTAATTCAATCCATACAGTCAAGACCAGGACACAATATGAGTAAAACTGCTACAATACCAACCCATACATGGTCATGCCGATTTGTACAATTTTGCATTTGTAGCAGTCATATCATCCCCCAACCAAGGGATAATTGTGGTGTTTTGCCCTGATACAGAACATATTTAATGTATAAATGCAGCTCAAGAGCAAATACATGTAATCCTTTCCCCTCCAGTGAAAACTATTGACTCCTTCAATGCTGTAAGAGTTTACCTGATAATACAACATGTAAGCAAAGAGGAAGGGGGGAAAAATGAGTACTACACCTTTCAGACATGTGTTCACCTAATATAAAATATTCATGAGCTGTTGCACTTTCTGCTTTTTATGAGTTGCATTTAGAGTGGCAAGGTTATCCTCACCACCTTATATTAAAATGTATTCTTATTGGTAACACTAGTGTCTGTACTCATTAATAATTCTATAAAGAAAAGTGACAAAACCGGGACACTTCCACGCACTGAAAAAAGCTTTATCGTAAAGAGGTGCGGGAGACGTGGTGTATATAGGATAAACCGCTGTGATTTTATTGGCACGCTCGGGGTAATCAAGGAAGTCAAACGGAGCGACATCCAACAAACTGTTTCTGCTTAAACAAGTCAACTGTTGAAAAAAACAAAAACAAAACAACAACAACAAGCAGACAATTGCTGCTGGTCTCTCTCCTCTAACACACATACTGCAAACTTGCTTAATGCTCTTAACGAAATCAGCATGAGTCGAGTAGCAGGGTTTCTCTTCCGGTCTCTGCCAAAACATCCACACCCTCTTTAATGGATTTGAATCAGCCAGGGGTAATGCAGGTCTGATATGCAAAGAAGCACAAGCCAATCACAAAATCAAGAAAAATAAAATATATCATTTTAATTTGTTTTATTTGTTTATTTTAATATAATTTTGGCTACAATAAACCTTCTATTTGAATCTGTGGGAACTTGTCGGGATCTTGGCAGTCGCGGTAAGGATCGCTGCATTGCTATGGCACAGCCAATCCCGGCAGAGGACCTGTCTATGTGCTGAGGAGCAGGGGGCGGGGTTGGCTTCTGATTCGAAGCGGCTCTAGGCTCTGAACCAGGAACAGAATACACTCTAAAAACTGATCAGTATCCAGCCAGCAGCAATTCTCAGCTGCGCCTTTCATGCTCCACTCGCCTATAGCTTTCACGCCGTACACAAAACTTTATCTTTGCACAAACCAGTTTCCCAAATGTTGCACGAGAACCTGAAGTGAACGGCAAGTAGACGGGGTGCAAGAAAATAGACAAGCTGAGCATCAGAGCATTACAGGCAAACGCAAACTCGAAAGGTGCAGCTCCCTTCGATGAAAACGGCAAACTGCCCTGGGCCAAACCCACAATATCGTCAGAATAAAAGACAAGACACTTTTAGTGGTTCCCTGAAATCAAGTCATTAATTCCAGTGACAATAATCATTCCCCCCCCCCCCCATACCAGCCACAGAGCATGCTCATGGAAACAGCAGGAGTACAAAAGAAAAAACATTATCTTGTGTGATAAGCCTATTCAAATTAAACATACAGTTTCCTTTCACACATCAAATCAGCAAATAAAGCGACTACAACCCATCTATCCATGCCACAGAAAAGCAAAAATCATAATAAAACATAGCAGAGACGACAATAATGGCTCTTTAAACCTGCCCACTCAAAACTAGCAAGAAGATTTACTACTGAACAAAAAAGAAAGAGATCCAGATTTTTTTTTCCCCTCAGCTGAATCAACTTAAGACACACCAAGAGCAGAATGACAAAGCCAGCAGTGTGCAGGGTGAGTGGCACACTGGGGTGTGCACCACTCCATTAGTGACACGCTTCGGGTAAACAAGAGCAGAGTTTTGCAGGCCCAGATCACACCGCAAAAAGGATTTAGCATTGACATGCTATAGCAGTAGGGGACAGGCAATAACAAGTCCATTTCTAAAACTCCATAAAGCAGTTCTGTATTGTCAGTTTTTCTTTTTTTTTTTGGTTGGGCAGGGACCCAGCCAGCCAAGACTGCACAATGCAGCCCTTTGGGGCAACACCAATCTGCTGATTAATGTGGACGGCGTGCTGAGGGGCAGTACAACAGCCCGTCTGTCACCCTCTCCCTCCATTTTGCAAAGTCTTCCCTCCCATCTGACTATTGGTAGAGTCCTACCAGATTCCTTCCCTTTTAATTCCTACACCTCCCATGTTTATTGAAAGTGAGGTGTGTGTGAGAGAATGTGTGTAACCATTTAATCTAATTTTATACCTGGCTGGGTATAATATCAGAGCGGGAGAAAGGCTACATTGACAGTATGATGTGATTTTCACTGCTACTACATTTCCTCCACCCCCCCTCCCCAACAAACATCTAACAAATACATACAAATACATAAACAAACAAATCCAACAAACAAATACATAAACAAACAAACAGTCAAATGAGTGCTGACAGCAGAGAGACAAAAAAAGTCAACATCAAAACATAAGACAGTGAATCACAGTACAGTGATGACATCAATTCAGTAAAACAATAAATCATATCTTTCAACTATGAGTTGGAAAACACCCTCTTTTTTTCCTTTTGCTTTGTTTCTGCCTGGAAAACGTGTTAGAGTTAAAGTGTAATGATAAAGGAAATAGCTTCCTGTTTCACTATGGATTCGACTGCAACCTAAGGTGGAAAGTCTTCCTGTTCTTCCCAAACTCACAGCTATGGGTGCCCCAACCCACAGATACCCCTCAGTCTGGCAGCGGCACAATCTTGGCCGGAATTATCCTGGTCGCCAGTTTGGACTCTTCTCAGATCCATGCTTTATTGTAGATTTAGCATCCTTGCTACAGGTGGGGGAACAAGCATTACATTTGATTTATTTCATGCGGCCACTTTTATCCAAAGTGACATAGGTTTTTTTTTTTTTTTTTTTTTTTTTAAGCAATTAGGGATCAAGGATTTTGCTCACGGGCCCAACGGTGAAATCACTCTGCCGGCGCAGGGATTTGAACTGGAGACCTTATGACGTGCTGAGCCCCACACCACGCCTCAGCAAGCAGTGACTCTCTGGAGTTCATATCTCCTATGTTTACTGTCAGCAAACTGCATGTTCTGTATGTTTTTAGAAGTGAAAAACCTGTTAACAAAGCAGGATTCCAGGCAGCGACTACGTGTAGCTAAGCTAAATACACTACTGTGCTCATCCATGCCCATCCCATTAATTCTTGGCTGTCAAATTTCCGGTATTTCAGCTCTGCATTATTTCCACCTTTCATATACTATTTATGTTTGGGATTCCCTGGGTGGACAAGCTCCTTTGCTATCAGAGTGGCTTGAATCCCATTTTAACACCTTTTGGCCCAGCTGAGCATACTTACCTCACACAACGAAACTATTTCAAAATCATAATAAAGAGTCTTTCACCTCATTTTTTTTTCTCGGTCCTTCATATAAATGCACATACAATAGTGGCCAAAATTGTGGAAACACCTAGCATTCTTGGCATTGCACATTATAATGGACGATTAAATAGTTACCGGAGCAACAGCTGAAGAAAGTTCTGAGATCTCTAAAGACTGGAAGCGTTTCCACAATTTGGCTGACAAGTGTATATACTTATAAACCATAAGCGGTTAAAGTAAAGCAGGAAGTTTTTAGCAGCTTGCAACAGAAGAAATTGCTTTGTATGATTATAATCTAAAGAACACCAAGATAATTATCTGATTTGCTTATTTCGGTATTGGCTGTTCCTTCCCTTTTCCCGTCTTTTTTTGCGGTTGGGATCAATAGCATCCCAAAGCTTGTTAGGATCACACGGGACTTTACAGACACCTCAAAATCACAGCCCCGTCGTGGGAGAGGGGGCACCGGCCGCCGGCCCCCACCGCAGGACTCACCTGTGGAGCACTTCCAGCGAGCCCTCCCGCTTGTCCAGCTGCCGGCAGACTGCGCTGCTCCGGAGCCCGTCCAACTCCTCCACGGCTCGGAGGTGCTGCGTCCGCTCCTCGCCCGGCGCGTACGTGTGTGCGATGTACTTGGACAAGGGCTTCACTAGATCAACCTCGGACGACTTCTTCAGGGGCACCGAGATGAAGGCCGCCATGGACGCTGGCTGGGCTGCTGCCTGCGGAAAAGAGAAAGCTGCTGCTGTTGGACCACAAGGACGGCGGTTCACTTCCTAAAACTTCTCGGGCCGTCACATGACGCTGAGGTGTATCCAGGGCCAAACGACTCGGGTTGCCAGATCAGCTCGGGGGCTCCGCCACGAAGACACACTTATCCAGGGTTCTATCTTTGGTCAGCTGGCTCGAGATTTCAATTAGAGGCAAGTCTGCACACGCATTTACATATATGTTACAGTTTTATTACATATAATTAGTTTACAGGGCTTGCAAACTGCCCCAGCGCTTTTGATGTAGATAATTGTGGGTTTATGATTGAATAATATACATTTGCCATAAGATTTCTTGCGTGAACGTGAGAGCTGGCAACCCTACTTATCATTATATTAATAATACTTTAAACGTTTGATAACGTCCTAAGCGCACCTTCACAATAAACCCCACCACCATTGAAAGATTTCCGGATCTCAAAAGTATCATTCAGAAGTATATCTTAACACTCCCACCATCTATAATACCAAGAAATCTCAACGACAAATACCTTTCGTAACGTACGTGAATTGAATGCGGATGTAGGTACTGTACTTACTTTCTAAAGTCACCAAAAGCCCAGCACGTGCTGCATATCTCAGTAGTGTCCTACTATATACTTTACCTCGTTTTCGGAGTTTGCTGTCAGGTACCTCGTCCGAAGGTACAAGGGCGGTGTCCCTCGCTGAAATTGTGAAACTTCTGCAGCCACAAGTTTGCACTCAGCTGGCCTTAAAGGGCCAGCGCCGAATTCGCTTCGACATCACGTTTATGCAGCAAAATTGATATTAGGCGCATCTAATTAATCTACATTCAATAGCCTCCCCAACTCTTCTCGTCCTAGACATTAAACAAGTCATCAGTATAACAACATGTATGTACATATTTCGAATAAAAAAATATCCATTATGTATCCCATATTTAGAAACAGTAGCGTGAATTAGGGTAATCTGGAACATCTATGCTTTTACATATATATTTCCTGTTTACTATAAAGTAGGTCAACACTAACACTGCTGCATATTTGTTGTGGTGTCATGTGAATAAGATCACATGACTTAATAACTGTAATACCGCTGAAGGAGAAACTCTTAGGACTTTGGAAGAAGAGCATCCACAGATTAATAGCATAAGGATTGTGATGGACTCATAAATATATTATTAAGAAAGAATTTCTACATGGTTTATCAGGTAATGTTTTTGATGGATTTATGCATTGAAATATGAATTAGGATTGTGAAAATATGTAACTTGTACTTGGGATTTTGGCATTTTTAGCTTTTTGATTCCAGTCATAGATTTTTATAAAACTGAATTTGTCCTTGAGGGGACTGAAGAAAATGGTCCCCACAACATAAAAATAACAGGTTTTTATTATATCTTGGGGACATTTGTGGCATGATATCTAGGGGAGTGAAATCCACATTCTTTCTTTTTATACGGGGAGGAAACATCCTTGGGTTTTCAAGAAGGTGTCATGTGTTGATCTAAAGTGGTGGTCAAAGAAGCAAAACATGTCCCAGAATACTGTAGATCGCCCTACTCTCCTGAGGGTTGTGCTGGTGTTTTCCTTTTATTTATACAGTACACAACAATTAGCAGAGAACTGACAAATAAACAAACAGATAAATAGTGGCATAGTGGGTGGTACTATTGTCTCACACCTCCAGGGTTGGAAGATTGTATCTTGCCTTTGGTCATTTTGCGTGGTATTTGCATGTTCTGTACGCTTCCTGTGGGTTTCTTCCCACAGACCAAAGACATGCAGTTAGGCTAAAAGGCATTGCTGAATTTCCTGAGTGTGAGTGCGTACGTGTATGAGCCCTGTGACGGACTGGTAACATTTCCTGGGGGTACCTCAGCCTTGTGTCCTGTGCCGCTGGGGACAGGCTTCAGGTCTCCTGTAACCACTGCCACGAACAGAAGATTGGCAGCTGAATTTTATGGCATTCATATATTTCAACATGAGTAGGTTTAAGAGGGTGGATCAGTAAGTGATTCTCGCGTTACACTTCCAGCGCTGGGGTTCGAATTCGTTTGCACTCTGTGCTGGTGTGGAATTGTCATGTTTTTCCCGTTTTGTATCCAAAGACGGGCAGTTAGGTGAACTGGCATTTCTTAACCATTCTCCAGTGCTGCCTAGGATACGCCCCCCCTCCACCCACCATATCCAAGATAAGCAAGATGAATGGATGGGTGGTTTCTATGACAGAGACATGATAAAAAGCACAACTCATTGTTATAAGTCATCATTATATGTTTTTATACATCTGGATAACCTGATGAAGGATTCACCTGTGTTGTACTTGGTATGTCATTGTCGGCATACTCTTTGTAACATATTAGGATGTGAAAGAGCCCTCATTCAACACCATGTCACCTTACAGTCACAGAATGACTGTCTTAGTTTGCATTCGGAACACATGAGAAGGACACATTCAGAATGTCTTGTTGAGTGTTGAGTAGACTGTATCCCAAACATGGATACAGTTTATGCTAGCTGCTTCCTCAACAGGACCAGCAACATGATCAGGACTTAATACACCCAGGTTACTCTACCCCACACAAGCTCACACGCACACACACACACACTGTGCATGTACACCCATAGCTGCTGATGACAGCAAACAAATCAACTATCTTACCCACCTCCTCACCTCCCCCAAACTGCTGCTAATGCAATTGATCACTTTGCACCAAGGACTGTAAATACAATTATCATAATATTATAAGGTTTGCAATACCCGCTTGCACTGCATACATGCCTCTTACACTGTTTACATGTTTTACACTGCATAAATACAATTTTTGTAATGAGTGCAATACCTGTTTACAAGGCACTGTTGTTCTTTATTTACCTTATCTTGTATTCTAGTTATAAGTTTCATTTGTATTCTCTATTGCTGTTATTATCTTATCTCATCTTATCTAGAAGACCCTTCCATGTTTGGCAATGAAGATCAGACAGAATTACCTGACTACAGAGTTCAACTCCATCCATTTCCTTGCCCCCCCCCACCTATCATAAATTGGGAGGCCGTTTCCTCCCCATTTGTTTTTTTTTAACATGAAACCAAGAATTCAGTGTTTCTACAGTCTTATTTCCAAGCCAAACACAAGACATGAACCATTATCTCTGGTGAAACAGGAAGCTCGAACTTGGAGTCACAAGACACCACATACTGTCTATTTTCAGCTCTCAGAAGAGGTCAAGACAAAACTGCCTGACAATCACCAGTAGGTGATGATGAGAAGTGAAGGATGAGGCCCAGCCTGAAGGCCCGACCTGCTCCGAATGCAAAAAGAAGGCTCTCATTTTAATATGATCTCCCAGCATCTCTTTGAATGTACTTGCAAACACTTTTCTTCATAATGTCCTCTTCAAAAATAAGTCTGGGAACAAGCCCCATTTCTGATTCCCAAAGGGAGGTTTAATATTTAGTGGTAAATGTGTGGGAAAAGAATAAATTAAATTATGTTTAAATAGAAAAGGCAGCTATATTTAAATGCTTAAATACAGTCGTCCCTCGCCACTTTGTGGCTTCACGGCTTTTTGTATGTTCATTAAAAAGTTGATCGAGACAGTGAAAATTATATATCGCTACGCATCGGAAGCATCTTTGCTCTTCGTAATTAAATGTACAATAATAATAATATGATATTTGTAATGTCTAATTACAAATTTCTCTTATTTTGTCTAATATATTTGGTAATATGACTGTAATTGTCATGACCTGCCTGTACGATCCTCTTGTGTGCCACGCCTCCTTTTTGACCACGTGTGCAACCCCGATTGTGACCAGCTGTTTTCTGTGAGTTTGATTTGTCCGGTGTATTTAAATCCACGTCAGAGTCTGTAACCCCAGGTCTGTCATTGACGTTTTGATGTTACATGTTCCTGTGTCCTGCATTTGGGGGTGATTCCAAATAAACCCTTAAATCCTGATTCCTCATCTCCCCGTTCCTGCTTCCGTGTCCAGCAGTCATAAAGTGACTAAAGGGTGTTATTTCATGTCTAGAGGGCTCTAATAATGTTAAAAAACGTATTTAGAAGGTTGTAAACAGGTTTTCTATGCTCTAACTATGAAAATATTCGATTTATAAATAAGGAATCCTACTTTGCAGAAATTCACTTATTGCGGTAGAGTCTGGAACTGATTAACCGCAATAAATGAGGGCCGAGTGTACTAACCACCGTAGAGGATATTATAAATATGCATATTATATATGTTCAGGTCTCACTCAAGGGTGATGTACAAATTGTTTCAAAGAAGGCTAAAAGAAATTCTGTGATTAATGAGTCTTTCTTGTAATCTGTCATTTTTAGTAGGAGAGGAATGCATCTTAATGTATCCTAACTTGTTTTTGTGCAAAGAAATTGCCCTAGTCTAATTTGAAAGAAGAGCAAGGTCATGAGAATATCAAACTGTTACCTTGACGTACATGGAATGTCAGAATGGTATGTGGAGCAACTAGCCAATAGAAATTGAGCAAAGTAAATGAAGAATCCCAAATCAAATCAGGTCACAGAGGCGCCAGTTACTTACAGCTAGTGTTGGCAACAGCGACGATTCATGAACCATTTGCTGTATTTTTTGACCCCACTAGATGGTGCTGTCTGTTCAAAAAAATGCTCAAAGCATGTCCCAAAGCAAGCCAAGAGCACCATCTAGTGGGGCCAAAAAATATCGCAAATGGTTCATGAGGTGTTGTTTTGGTCATCAGTACTTACAGCAGCTTTTAGGGTGTTTTCAGCTGATGTGGTTTGAACTTATAAGTACATTTAAACACTGTAGAGCACTATCTGATTCTGGTTTAAATGGTTGAATCAGTGGGCTGGTCCCGGTGATGTTCTGTACATTTTTATTGCCAGTATACGCACAACTGCAAGCACAGGCCTAGAAATACACAAAGGAGAGCAGAACGGCAGAAACTCCAATGTTACACTCACAAGGAAGAAAATGACACTGTTAGGAAAAGGTGACATCAACAGTTCAGCCATTCAAGTCCATAGATGCTTTTCTACGAATTCCCCACCAAATAAAACGGAGACTATATATTCGCCACAACAGAAAGGAAGATCGACAGCACCACCTCGGATGAGGCTCGTGAAGATTGCCACATCAACCTGTTTGACTTTTATATTTCATTTATATAGATAGACATTTTAAATGCTTGTTCAAATCTGGTCATACTTATGCAGCAATCCAAACCACCTACTTCGATGGGAAAACATCAGGTAGGTGAAGAAGCCTTCTGATTGGCCGAGTGTGAGTAGGCAAGGAGAGTTGGGGGCTGCTGTTGTGTAGGATCACATGGCTGTGTGGAGAGTGACAGGAGTTCTGGCAAATCTGACTGAACCTGGGGCCTGTCCTGATTGGGAAATAGTTGCTCCTGGGAACCATTTGACTGGCACAGAGGGTGCAGCAGCTCTGCCTGTCCTCACCATGTGGGGCTGAAATCAGGGTGGACCATACATGGGGTTCCACAATGAGGGATGAGCCTTTAAAACCTGCCTTGGCAAAGGACCCAGATTCTAATTCCTGCATCAACACCTTGATGCCTCCAGCCCTGAGTTCTCACCAGCTTCACAGAGACCACATCTAAAGCAGAGTAGCTTCTCAGGACTGGCAGTGGTGAGCGAGGTTTGCATGCCGAGGAGGGCTTACCTGTGGCCATCGCTCCAGAGGACACCTGCAGAGGAACTGTGAGGGAACAGGACAACTGCAAAGCCATCGATAGGGGACAGGACAAAGACAGATCCACAGCCTAGGGACAGGGCATCTGCAGAGCCTCTGTATGAGGGCAGGAAACCTCCAGACAGAATACCTGCAGAGTCCCTGCTAGAGGACAGGACCACAGCAAAGCTACTGCCTGAGGACAGGACACCTGTGCGCTTTCTGTTTGGGGACAGGACTCCTGCAAGCCCTCTGTCTGGAGATAGGACCTGTGGACAGGACACCTGCAGAGCCTCTTTCTGGGGACGGGACACCTGCGGGGCCTCTTTCTGGGGACGGGACACCTGCGGGGCCTCTTTCTGGGGACGGGACACCTGTAGGGCCTCTGTTTGGGGACAGGACACCTGCAGAGCCTCTATCTGGGGACGGGACACCTGTGGGGCCTCTGTTTGGGGACAGGACACCTGCAGAGCCTCTATCTGGGGACGGGACACCTGTGGGGCCTCTGTTTGGGGACAGGACACCTGTGGGGC